AGACCCAAGTGGCTCTGCTAGGGGCGATAACTTATTTGCCTAAAGCTTTTTTCTTTCTCAAAAGTGCGGAGGTGGGGCGGAGAAGGCTGATTTCTAGAAACAGATGTGGAATTGAAGAACATCCCAGGGAGCTAAGTTTTAAGGACTAATCACAAACTTGTTGCTTCTCCAACAATGTCACGAATCCATTCCTTGCACCATCACACGGTTTTCATGCATTAGAAAGTGCTTCTAGAGCTCCAGAACCATGAGTACCTCACCCTGTCCTGAGCACTCACATCCCCCAGCAAGCGGCCTGTACCAGGCCTTTCTCTAGAAGTCCTGAGACTGAGTACTCTCCGAAGGTTGGAGGTTTGTGCGGAGTTTGTACATGTGGCTGAGCACTTGTGTGAGGACAGTCCTGCTGGTGTTGATCTCCATCAAGGTCAAGTGATCCAGCTTGGCATGTGCCTCCTGTTGTCTCACAAAGCTGTCAGCAGACACTCGGAGTTTGGCTATACGAGTGTCCCACATGTCCTTGACCAGGGTCCAGATTTCATCTGCCTTTGGGATGTTGTCTGAAGCATGATTTAACAGGAGCTTGGTAAGTTCCATGTAGTAAGGGCCAGGCACTGGGGTGAAAGTTTCTTCCTTTCGTTCATGATTCCTCATCTTCTCCAACTTTTCCTATGTCCATCCACTCCGGAGGGAGCAGTCAACATTTCTGTCTTTGCTTCAGGTTAATTGCCAGCCACGGGGGCACTTCCACTGGTAAACCACGGTTAAAAGGCCCCAGGTACCCACCCCAGTGAGGTAGATCTTGTCCAGATTGAAGTTGGGGATAATGGTAACCAGGTCCTTCTCGGCCAGGAACTCGACCTCGGCCATGTCCATGGCAGCGTGAGCAGCCGGCTCGGGCCTCACGGTCTCCTCCGGCCCCTCAGCATCCCGGAGGTGGCGTGTGGCCACCGTTTTCCCCAAGATTGCCTTTCAATTTCTGCTCTAAGAGGCCCAATTCCTATCCTTCATTGATTCCTGATTCAGAACCGGGTGAGTCACTTTATCTGGGGGTTGGAGATAGGGTGGAACATGGAGCATGCACACAGCCAGTGGCATGTGCACCTGGTACCCGGGAATGTGTTTGAGTGGCAGAGTGGGCTCACCGCAGAGCTGCTGGGGTTGTGCAATAGCGTGCTGTCCCTGTCAGCTATCACTGTGTGACAAATGATCCCCAAACCCAGCGGGGATCATTTCCCGAGGCGATGATCATATACTCCCACCGCTGTGTCTGAAGGTGGCTGGGGATTAGCTGCTCTACCCTAGGCTCTGCTGGGCAGCTCCATTTCTAGCCATGGGTCCAGTTGAACTTACTCCTCCCTGCTTACTGGGCTGTGGTCTGCGCCACATGTGTTCATTCTGGGACCCAGGCAGCAGTTGTCCAGGGACGGCTCTTCTCATGGTGTTGATAGAAGTGTGAGAGGGCCACCCCACCACCTAGGCACATTGCATGCCTGGGTTTGCCCAGAGCCAAAGGCACAAGGCATCCCACACAGCCCCATTCCCTGATGGCGGCTAGCTCTCTCACCCACCTCTCTCCCTCCTTTCCCTTCACCCCCAACTTGTCACCTTCCCTCAGATTCCCTGCTCAGCAAAGTAAAGCTTGGCACTGCCCAACAGCGGCTATCTGTTGCTCCTCCAGCCCGCCCCACTGGGGACAATCTAAATTCATCGCTCCACAACATATCATTACCCAAAAATAATTATGGCACAAGGGACGTGTTCAAAAGAGTCCAGCAACTTTGTGGCTCAGGTGATAGGGATAAGAACCCAGCTGATCAGAGGCAGAACTGGGGCTACATCTGGGCTAGTGGTATTCCCTCACCAACCACAGGCTGCATCCGGCCAATGAAAGAAAAGAAAACATTCACAATTGAGGAAAGACTGTTGTACAAGCGGTTTATTAAACAGTGTTTGAGAACATGGACTACAGAGCCAGACTTCCTGGGGTCAAATCCAGTTCTGCCGTTTACTAGTCAGGTAACCTTACAGAAGGCACTTAATCACTGTGCCTCTGTTTTCCCATCTGTAAAATGGGATAATAATAAGTTGTGAAGAGTAAATGAGTTAATCCATGCTAAGCAGTGTTTCTCAGCCAGAATGATGGTGTTCCCCAGGGAACATATGGCAAGGTCTGGAGACATGTGTCATTGTTAAAACTGAGAGGGATGCTTTGGCATCTAGTGGGTAGAGGTCAGGGATGCTGCTAAACTTACTACAATACACAGGACAGCCCTCCTTCACAGCAAATAATCATCCTGCTGACATGCTGTTAGTACTGAGCTTGAGGAAGTTTGTATGTATGTATGTATGTATGTATGTATGTATGTATTTATTTTGAGGTGGAGTCTCATGCTGTTACCCAGGCTGGAGTGCAGTGGTACAGTCTTGGCTCACTGCAACCTTCGCCTCCTGGGTTCAAGCGATTCTCCTGCCTCAGTCTTCTGAGTAGCCAGAATTACAGGTGCCTGCCACCACGCCCAGCTAATTATTTGTATATTATACAACATGTTTCACCATATTGGCCAGGCTGGTCTCGAACTCCTGACCTCATGATCCACCCGCTTTGGCCTCCCAAAGCATTGGGATTACAGGTGTGAGCTACCACGCCTGGCCTGAGGAACTTTAATGCAGTGTTCAGAGTAGTACCTTGCAGCAGGTCACTGTTAATGCCTGTTGGTTAGAATAGTCAATGCCAGCTCACTGGTAACCTTACAGAAGGCACTTAATCACTGTGCCTCTGTTTTCCCATCTGTAAAATGGGATAATAATAAGTTGTGAAGAGTAAATGAGTTAATCCATGCTAAGCAGTGTTTCTCAGCCAGAATGATGGTTCCCAGGGAACATTTGGCAAGGTCTGGAGACATGTGTCATTGTTAAAACTGAGAGGGATGCTTTGATTGCATGCCTGGGTTTGCCCAGAGCCAAAGGCACAAGGCATCCCACACAGCCCCATTCCCTGATGGCGGCTAGCTCTCTCACCCACCTCTCTCCCTCCTTTCCCTTCACCCCCAACTTGTCACCTTCCCTCAGATTCCCTGCTCAGCAAAGTAAAGCTTGGCACTGCCCAACAGCGGCTATCTGTTGCTCCTCCAGCCCGCCCCACTGGGGACAATCTAAATTCATCGCTCCACAACATATCATTACCCAAAAATAATTATGGCACAAGGGACGTGTTCAAAAGAGTCCAGCAACTTTGTGGCTCAGGTGATAGGGATAAGAACCCAGCTGATCAGAGGCAGAATTGGGGCTACATCTGGGCTAGTGGTATTCCCTCACCAACCACAGGCTGCATCCGGCCAATGAAAGAAAAGAAAACATTCACAATTGAGGAAAGACTGTTGTACAAGCGGTTTATTAAACAGTGTTTGAGAACATGGACTACAGAGCCAGACTTCCTGGGGTCAAATCCAGTTCTGCCGTTTACTAGTCAGGTAACCTTACAGAAGGCACTTAATCACTGTGCCTCTGTTTTCCCATCTGTAAAATGGGATAATAATAAGTTGTGAAGAGTAAATGAGTTAATCCATGCTAAGCAGTGTTTCTCAGCCAGAATGATGGTGTTCCCCAGGGAACATATGGCAAGGTCTGGAGACATGTGTCATTGTTAAAACTGAGAGGGATGCTTTGGCATCTAGTGGGTAGAGGTCAGGGATGCTGCTAAACTTACTACAATACACAGGACAGCCCTCCTTCACAGCAAATAATCATCCTGCTGACATGCTGTTAGTACTGAGCTTGAGGAAGTTTGTATGTATGTATGTATGTATGTATGTATGTATGTATTTATTTTGAGGTGGAGTCTCATGCTGTTACCCAGGCTGGAGTGCAGTGGTACAGTCTTGGCTCACTGCAACCTTCACCTCCTGGGTTCAAGCGATTCTCCTGCCTCAGTCTTCTGAGTAGCCAGAATTACAGGTGCCTGCCACCACGCCCAGCTAATTATTTGTATATTATACAACATGTTTCACCATGTTGGCCAGGCTGGTCTCGAACTCCTGACCTCATGATCCACCCGCTTTGGCCTCCCAAAGCACTGGGATTACAGGTGTGAGCTACCACGCCTGGCCTGAGGAACTTTAATGCAGTGTTCAGAGTAGTACCTTGCAGCAGGTCACTGTTAATGCCTGTTGGTTAGAATAGTCAATGCCAGCTCACTCCAGGGCATGTGTTGGAGTCACTTGTCCCTATGGCCACAGAACCTGAGCTTGTGACTAAAGCCTTTTCCTTCGCTCACTGTAACCTATAATACTTATGATGAGGATAATGGTGATGCTGCCAATAATGATAATAGTACCTATTATTATTACAACAATTCCCATTTCTTGTGCACCTAGTATAGGCCAGATATTTTGTCAGACGTCTCATTTACATTTCCTGTGATGCTCGCAGTGAGGATAGCTCTGACTGGCCCCCACTTTGCAGAGGAAACTGAGGCTAAGACAGGTGAAACATCTCGCCCAAGATTCCTCGGTGTCAGGTGGGGACGGAACTCAGCCTGTTGAACTCTGGAATGCCACACCCTCTGCTGTCAGCATTTCGTCAGAGCCAGGGTGGCGAGGTCAAGGGCAGGCTCTCTCAGTGGAATTGAAGGCTGCCCCCAAAGCCCTATTCACCACTTTTGGGGGAAGCCCTCGGCTGGGTTGCTGAAGCCAGGCCATGCTCCCTGCCCCAGCAGGTCCAGGCTGAGCTGACCTGGTTTGGCTGCTGGAGGGGAGGCTCGGCCACACCTCCACCGGCTCATCCCGATGGCCCACATTCTTGCTCCCTCGGTCATGCCGGCTCTCGGCTTCGCTGAGCAGGCTCTCGGCTTTGCTGAGCAGGCTCTCGCTTCTGTGGCTCTCAGCCTTGCATGGGTTTCTGCAGCCCTGCCCTTTGGGAAAGGCCTTTGCTCCACTGTCATATTATTCTCACTGCCTGCTGTGACCTCAGGGGCAAGGATCTCGCTAAGATCACCTTGCAAAGCCCCCTTCTCTACCCCTGCCTTCCCATTTTACAGACTTGGAAGCTGAGGTCCATAGAGGAAAAGGGACATGCCCACAGCTGCACAGAGCATGAGCAGGGGAGCTTGGATGGGAGCCGAGGACTTCTAGGCCCTGCCTCATCTTCCAGGCCACCTGGGGGGAAAGTTCGTGTGTGTGGAGAGAAGGGCTTTGCATTCAGGAAGGCTCCAAGCCACTGTGAGGGCTCCAGCCCTCTGACTCTCTGCGGGAATATATTTCTTCCATGGTCTGCGCTTGTAAGCCCTTGACCACTCTGCAGGACAGGAACCAGAGGCCACTCACTGGCTGGGCAGTCTTGGGTGAATCACTTGCCCTGTCTGAATCTCAGATAGGAAGAGCCCAGAAGCAACATATATTGATCAAACTACATTGACTGAGGACTTCCTGTTCTAAGCACCTTATATATATTCGCTTCCTAGTAACTGGCCACAGTAAGGGCTCAATAAACATTTGCTGAATGAGTGAATCGGCTCTTACACTACACTGCCCAAGGTAGTCTGTTAGCTTCATATTAAAATGAGGAAGCTAAGGCCCAGCCAGGTTTGGGGACTCCCCAAGGTGACATTGCTAATAAACAACAAATCTAGGATTCAAATTCAGACCCATTTGACACTAGAGCCAAATTTCTGACTTTTTTTTTTTTTTTCCTGAGACGGAGTCTCACACTGTCACCTGAGCTGGAGTGCAGTGGTGCGATCTCGGTTCACTGCAATCTCTGCCTCCCAGGTTCAAGCAATTCTCCTGCCTCAGCCTCCTGAGTAGCTGGGATTCCAGGCACCCGCTACCACGCCCACTAATTTTTTGTATTTTTTAGTAGAGATGGGGTTTCACCATGTTGACCAGGCTGGTCTTGAACTCCTGACCTCGTGATTCACCCGTCTCAGCCTCCCAAAGTGCTGGGATTACAGGCGT